ATCAGGTGGTGGCGGTGGTGTGCCGTGGCGCTGCCGTGTGGTGGGCAGCATGGATGGGTTGGGGTGGAAATGGTGGTGGGGCCACGTGATGCTATCTGGAAATGAATGTGTCCCCCGGGCCACATGGCACCACCCAGGCATGGGCACATCCCCCTGGGCCACATGGCACTGTCCTGGCATGGACGCATCCCCCTTGGCCATGTGGTGCCATCCTGGTTTGGACACATCCCCCTGGGCCATGTGGTACCGTCCTGGCATGGACGCGTCCCCCTGGGCCATGTGGTGCCATCCTGGTGTGGACACGTCCCCCTGGGCCATGTGGTACCGTCCTGGCATGGACGCGTCCCCCTGGGCCATGTGGTGCCATCCTGGTGTGGACACATCCCCCTGAGCCATGTGGTACCGTCCTGGCATGGACGCGTCCCCCTGGGCCATGTGGTGCCATCCTGGTGTGGACACATCCCCCTGAGCCATGCTATCTGGAAATGAATGTGTCCCCCGGGCCACATGGCACCACCCAGGCATGGGCACATCCCCCTGGGCCACATGGCACTGTCCTGGCATGGACGCATCCCCCTTGGCCATGTGGTGCCATCCTGGTTTGGACACATCCCCCGAGCCATGTGGTACCGTCCTGGCATGGATGCGTCCCCCTGGGCCATGTGGTGTGCCATCCTGGTGTGGACACGTCCCCCTGAGCCATGTGGCACCACTCTGGCATGGACGCGTCCCCCTGGGCCACATGTCACCATCTGGGCATGGCCAGGTCCCCCTGAGCCACACATCCCCCTGGGCCACGTGGCACCGTCCCGGTGTGGCCATGTCCCCTGGGCCTTGTGACGCCATCCTGGTGTGGGCCATGTGGCACTGTTCTGGCATGGACATGTCCCCCTGGGCCCCACGTCCCCCCAGGCCACGTGCTGCTGTCCTGGCATGGACACAGCCCCCTGGGCCACATGTCACCGTCCTGGCACAGTCACTTCCCCCTGGGCCCCACGTCCCCCCCCCCCGGGGGTGGTGGGGTGCAGGCGG